TTTCTCACGCAAAAAATCAACCCAAGCATACCTTGAAAAATCATCAACACAAACAAACACATACCTCTTACCTCCCAAACTCTAAATTTGCATAGGACCCATTAGATCCATATAAAATAATTCCAACACACATGATATATTGAGATTTGATAAAGCTTTGTGAGATATTCTGGTTTGCTTACTATGTTGACATGGACCACACACATTACCTTTTGGAAGTTCAAGTTTTGGTGGCCCTTTAATTACTTCTTTCTTTGAGAATCTCGCAAAGTCCTTGAAGTTCATGTGACCGAGTTTCTCATGCCACAAGTTTGTTGAATCCGTTTTAGAACTGAAACAGGACACATAGTTAGAAAGCAAGTAAAAATTGTCATTTGATCTTTTTCCCTCAAGTAGAGAAACGCCTTTACCATTCAAGATTTGACATTTTCCCTTTGAGAATTGAACCACAAAATCTTTGTCACAAATTTGACTAATACTAATCAAATTATCTTTCAAACCATCAACAAGCAAGACATCTTTCAAAATAGGAAAAATAAGAAACACAATAGACCCTTTGCCAAGAATTTTACCTTTCTTTCCATCTCTATAAGTGACATGTCCACTATAAACCAATTCAAGTTCATTCAAAAGAGATTTATTATCTATCATATGCCTTGAACAACCGTTGTTTAGATACCAAAGATCATTTTGAAATGCAAGCAAAGAAGTATATGACACAAGACAGTTCACATCAGCCTTAGGTTTCCAAACTCTTTTGGAAGAAAAACCATTGTTAGCATTATGATTTACATTAGCAACAAAACTATGGTTTTTAAAATCTTTCTTCAAATAAGCAATGAACTTGAAGCATTTGGGTCTGATATGACATTTCCTATTACAAAAATGGCAAGTAGGAATGAATTTTGATACCTTCATAGCTTGTCTCACAACAATTCCTTCAGCAGAAGTTTCAGTGGCCTTTACGAACTTGCTTGCACCAGCTTTCGATGTGCTAGCACTAGGACTGAAACCCAAACCATACCGATCTCCAAAAGATTTTCCTTGACCAAGCACTTCATCAAGCTTAAGAGAACCTGTGTTTAACTTATCAATGATGACCTTAGCCTCAATCAGTTTAGTAGTAAGAACAATAATCTTTTCGGACAAGACTTTCTTTTGCTTCAACAAAGTAGCATTCTCAATACCAAGAGATTGTAACTTTTTCATAGCCTTTCGCCATTGGTCATACATCTTATCATATGCCTTTTGTTGCACAGCATAGATATCAACAGTGTCATTTGAAACCTCACTCTTACCATCTTCTTGGTTCACAGTGAAAGCAAGAACATTTTCATCATCACCTGAATCATCATCTTCACTCTCATCATGCTCACTCTCACTCAAAGTGATAGCCATGACTTTACCTTTCTTCTTTTTCAGTGTGTTAGCACACTCAGATTGTATGTGCCCAAAGCCCTCGCATTCAAAACACTTGATACCTTTATTTTTCTTTTCTTTATCTTTTGAAAACTTCCTTGTAAAGGTACGTACCAGGGGTTTGATGGTCATAAGACTTTTTCACAAAAGGTTTTCGGCCATAACCACTATCATGAGGCTTTTTCATGTTTTTCTTTAAAAAACTTTATAAAATTCTTTGTAAGTAAAGCACAATTTTCATTATCCAATGAACTTAAATCACACTCATCAAAAGGATTAGAATTAACCTCATGTTTGAGAGCCAAACCTTTGCTCAGTTTTTGTTTTTGCCAACATTGTAGATTCAGTTCATAGGTTTAGAAAGAGCTAATAAGTTCATCAATATCCATAACATCCACATCTTGACATTCTTCAATGGTGGTGACCTCTGACATAAACCTTCAAGGTAAAGAGCAAAGCACTTTCCTAACAAGTTCAACATTAGAATATGTTCTTCCCAAAGCAAAACACTCATTAGAAATATCACAAACTCTACCATAAAAGTTAGTTATAGTCTTATCATCATCCATGTTTAGATTTTCAAAATCAGTAACAAGTCTTCTAAGTTTATTTCTTTTAAAGGTACTAGTTCCCTCATTCTTGTCTTGAAGCCTATCCCAAGCATCTTTAGCAAGCTCACAATTAGCTATGACTTTCATTTGGTTCACATTCACAGCATTAAAAAGAGCATGAAGAGCTTTAGAGTTATCATTTGCCAAAGTTATCTCATCAACAATCCAACTAGCAACAGGTTTTGATCTAGACACTTCATTTTCAACAATAACTGAGGCTGTCCAACCATTCAAAACCATGGACCAAACTCTTTCATCTATGGACTTAAGGAAAACACGCATCCTAGGTCTCCATGTATAATAGTTAGGTCCTTCTAACAGAGGTGGTCTATGAGCAGATCCTCCTTTAGTGAAGAAACTCATGATGAAAAACAATCAGACAGATGCTAACACAACAAACGAAAGTGCACACATAGACACACAACAGATTTAAAATAAAAACACAACACAGATAAGATTTTGTCTAACTACTAGACCACTAAGATGCACATAAAAACAATCAAAATGGGTAATGATCAACTAAAACAACTTATCAGGACACGCTCTGATACTACTTGTTGGGGAGAGAGTTAGAGATTTTACTCACATTAGAGTGCGGTTACCCATTTTAAGTGCAACAGAACAATTATCAAGTAGATTAAACATTTCCAAGTTAAACATATCAAACACATGTGCGAAAAATAAAGAACATAGCCATATACATGGTTCTGCTAAATTCACTTTTAGTCTACATCCATGGGACCTTATCCAGATCGAAGCAATCCTCTAAGTTAAAAACACATTACAAGATATAGTTCAAAGTTGATCTAAGTTATAGTAAAAAGAACTCCCTGTTCAACTTTACACTTAGCATCACACTCTGAATCCTTAACGTGTAACAACTCCTTAGACCTTTTTCACACTGGGAACACACTCGAGAATAGCTTGTAAACCACCAAGCTTTAAGTGCTAAAGCACGCACTAGCATCAACAAAGGAACCACGTTCCAAGAGCCATTAATAACGTGTTTGATATGATGAAGTTTTGGCACAAAATATGGAAATGAACCTTGAACCTTAAGAGAGAAAAATACTGTAAGAGAACCAGAGTACAATGAAACAAAATGTCAAAAGGTTAGATTCATACATACAAGAAGGGGCATTATATAATGAAGGATTTCTTGCTCAACAATATAGTGCCAAATTAGCCAACAAGGGACTGACTAATGTTTGTCCAAATAAGAAAAGTTTTCATTCTTTTGGTTTGGACCACAAAACAAATCGGGAAAAGAACTTTATTCCCTAGGACCACTTAAGGATGCTATGACACATGTAAAAAGGTCCTAGAAAGTGAGAGACAAAGATAAACAATATATTTTTCACTTTTTCAGACATGCAACTCGTGCTGGGTTGCAAATATCTGAAGTGAGAGTGAGAGCACAAACTGTTGTGCACACACACTTTAAACAAAACAAGGCAAGACTCAGGTTTGACAATCAGTGTGCACGCAGAACATATGTGTACACATACAATTCATAAGTTTGACAAATATGAGTTTTTCACAAAACTCAATAAAAAGCCATAGCTGATCATGATCTTTCATCAATTAAAAAAGTTTTTTTTTAAAAAAAAAAAAAAAAAGGAATGAACATTATCTTACTTTGTAACCTTCAAAAGAATATCCTTTATTGAGTAATCCAATTACTGGAAGAAGAAAGTATGATAGAAAATGAGAGGAAATGAAAGAAGAGAGAAAATGTGAAAAAATGTTAATACAAATTTTTGCGAAGTTAATATGAATTTAACTAAGGTCAAAAATGTAAATTTCATATAATATAAAGACTTTCTAATTTTTTTAAAAAGTTGAGTGGGTTGAATTGAAACCACATGTTTATGCGTGGCTACTGGCTACGTGCCTGCTCTCATGTCCTCTAATCCATTTTTGTAACTTTGGATTTGCTCGTCGATCATGCATGTTTGGGAAAAGCACGTTGAAAAGTAGGATGAAGAATGAAGGGCTGTTGGGGGGTAAAGAATTTTACGTAATGATAATGTGTTCATTTAATTGAATGCCTGTCAATGTGATACATGTTGATATTGACTATTGGCGCCTTCGATGAAGTTTAATGGATAAGAGTATCTTAGTGCATGCATGTCTATAACACGTGGGTACGGAAAAAAAAATAAAAATTAATCATTTAGAACTCGTTTGGTATTGTTACAACTTTTAAAATAATATATGTTAAAACCATTTTTGATTAAAAAAATGTTTTTAAAAATGGGTTAGACTATTATAACACAAATTTTTGACACAAATTTGAGCACAAATTCTTAACCTTTGATTCAATTTAATACAATAGATTTAGATGAGAAGTTAGAGTTTACTTATGTTTCATGCTAACTATATAAGCAATTTTTAAGTCATTGGGTTATTATGAATCAATGTAATAAATTTGTATCAAATTTTTGTGTTACAATAGTTTGACCCTTTAAAAATACTGAGTTTTAAATGTCTCTCATAAAAATAGAAATCTATGAAGAGAAAGGTATCTGAACACCAAGGTAATTGCACAAATGTGATAGGTGTTTCTCTTATAGACTAAAAAAAAAAAGACCCCTAGGTACAGTTGACCCTAAAAGTTAAAGAGTTTGCTATCAAATCACAAGGGAAGAGGTGATTTATAATTATTTTCTTAATAGGGTATTTTGATAAAAAATTATGGAATAAACAAACTTTAACGGCCTATTAAAATCAAATCCCGAATGGCCCTTAATTTCAATGTGAGAAAATTATATGCCTTTTACTGCTTATTGTTTGATTTATTGCTATAAATATATAGAAGCGATGTTCCACTTCCACAGACTTTGGAAGCCCGTTTTACTGCGATTATTAAAAATTAATTAATTGATTAACTAATAGTAAGAAGTCAAATCAATTTAATTAATTAACATCTATAGCTCAAAAAAGTACATGATAAATTATTCAGCATACGTACGTTGATTTTATATATTAATTTTTATAAGTCTACATCATCAATAGCTCCAAGGAGTACATTATTTAAAAGAAAGTAAATTCACTAAATAATCTAATCAAGGAAGCTCAAATAGTTGCTTCACATTATAAGGTCCAGTAACATTTGGTACTCCACTCCATATTAGCTCTGCAATCTGGAGATTTGCCTTCTGAGATGTATGGCCGCCATCAAAGAACAGATAGTCACTTGGATTACTGCATAACTTGTATGAACCTACGCCACAATTCAGTCCATTATATAGTCCACTGCCACAACATGCAATTTTCCCTTCCTTGAACCCTTCAAAACATAATCAAGAACAGAAAATTAAAGTTCAAACTAGACATAAACATATGTAAAAGTTTTGACTGCATATAACTTAATTTACCATATTTTGTAGGGTTATTAATTCGGTAAAGGAGGTTATAGAAGTAGTCCATGTTCGAATATTTGAACCCGGATAATTCTTTGGCCATCTTGCTAAGCTGATTAGATAGAGCTTTGTTGTGTAGATTTGCATCCTTTAAGAAATTGGTAACACAAGAGCCATTTGTACTGGGGTGCACTGCTTTTATAACGGGCAAGCAACCTAACGGTCCAACATTCTGGATCGCAAATTTCCTTCCTCCCATATTATATATTTCCTGCAAATCAATACAACAAGTTTCACTACAACATTAATTAAATATACTGTGGGAAATACAGCCTTCCCCGGCGCAAAGAACTCGTCGGAATAGAACTAAATCGCGATGTATTACGACGCAAGTCATACCTAAAGTTTTACAGATGATATCGAGAATAGAAATTGTTACCTTGAAGCCATTTGTTAAATTGGCTACCACCTTGCGCACGTATGCTACTCTTTGAGATTGAGTGGCATTAGGGTAGCTGGACTCATACCGAAAGTAATCGTTGCCTCCGAAGCTGAATAAGTACACAGAACTAGTTAAAATCTTTGTGGCTTCTTTAGCACCTACTTTCTGTGACATTAAATTTGCCACGTTCTTGAAATAGGCCAACTGTTGTTTAAGATTCAGCTGAAACCAATGGAAAATAAGATGTATTATTAAAAAAAAAAAAAAAAATATAGCATGACAGCTAAGGCTGCAATCGAGTTGAACCAAACTGAATATTGAGAAACTCGAGCTCGATTCGATTGGAATAGTTGAAGCTCGACTCGATTTTAATTATTAATTATTTTTATTTATATATATAAATGTTAATATAAAATTAAAATATTATATAAAATGTTGAGCTCGAGTAAACTCTCGAACTGCTCGAGTAAAGTATTATTATGCTCAAACTCCGCTCGACACAACACACAAGCTACTTGAGCTCGTTTGCAAGCGGTTCGGCTCGTTTGTTGGCCAAGGACAACCCTAACTATATACTTGTAAATTTACAACTGTACCGCTCTTAGCGCTCTAGGACATATCAGTATGAGTTTTTAATTTAAATAATGCAGAAATGGAGTACGGGAATTTAATTGAAGGTGACATTATTGATGATATGACATCTCTTAAGTTTGTTGCTGACAGTTTATGGAAATTAACGCCATTAAGAGAATTCAAAATCGTCACCCACTTTCGTTTAGATTTGATACACAAAAGAGAAACCACGAGAAAGAAAACAAAAACCGAACCCACTTCAATTAATTAGCCATCAGAACCTTATCTTGAAAGGTAGTTCAAAAATTCAAAAGAAAACAACAGTTTCCTACTTAATAAGAAGCATACCACTCCATCATTGACGTCTAGAACACCACCTGCGGCAGAGGCAAAGTTAGCTCCATTGGTTAAATCTGCTCCTGGTTGCAGGTATGGAGGATCCACTGAAAGGTTTGCAAATTGGGCTGAAAATTCAAGGAGTGAAACAACATTCATCAACATCTTTAACTCTATAAATTAAGTTTAACTAGTAAAGAAATAAACTGACAAAGATCTTACCGATGTAATCAGGAACTATAAGGCCATCTGAAAATCTGCCAGTGGATTTGTTGTTCATGTCTATTCCATAAGGATACGATGTTGATACGGGTTTCGCTGAATTTTTGATGTACTGGTTGTTGCCTGGATCGAAGAGTGAGTCTCCAAACACAAACAGTAGTTTCTTCGACTGAGCTGCATAGCACCCAAATGAACCGAGAGCGATTGCATACAAGACTATGGCACAAAGAAAGTTGATGCTTGTCCTTGCCATGGAGTTTTGAACACTTTCGATAATGTTGCCTTCTCTTTGTTCTTTTTCAGTGCCTACTTATGATGGAACACGCGCACTGTCAAGGTTTGTGGTTTATGTGTGTGGAAAGTGTGTGAGACATCATATATAATATTTGTGAATTTATATTGAATTTCACGTGGTGTTTTGTCTTCTGATCTGAACATTGGTCCACACGCATTATATTTTCTATGAGTAAACAACTTTTTCCCATCCAAGGTTTGCGTCAATAATTTTACCACCCAAAAAGTTTCAAAATACTACTTTCTGACCCAAAGTTTATATTTTGTTAATATTCAAAATATACTTAACTTTCTTAGTTGACATTCGACGAGATACCAAGAGTGCCAAGATAAGAAAGGTTTTGTAGAGTTGAGGCCAGTAAATTGAATGGTGGTGACCGATTAAATATTTGTCATCAGAATCATTCGAAAATCAGCTAAGAACAGAATACCCTAACTTTGAGGTGGCAAGCAATGGATGAGAAATTAGGTGCTGGAGTAAGAGGGCTTTTGTAGGGAAGAGATCGGAGGTTCAAATGGTGGCTATAGAGAGAATTTTTACCGTTGGAATCGGTTTTGGGTATTGATAGGAATATAAACTTTTGGTGAGAATGTGATATTTTGAAACTTTTTAGGTGAAAAAGTTTATTAAGGCAAACCTTGGGTGAGAAAATGTTGTTTACTCCATTTTCTACAGCAATTAACGTGAGAGAATTATGATGTTTATCACCTGTAGTTTGATTTACTTTTATAAATCAATCAATCAATTGGCACCTAAACATTGTATCTTCAAAGCCCGAGATTACATTTCATCTACCTATGAAGTCATATTCATGGTCTAATTATAAAGATTAGGTAAAATAGTGACTGACAAGTGCCACCCAGGTTCGCCGAAATTACATATTTCTACCCACAAACTTTTAAAAAAACAATTTCTCACCCATTGTCAATCTCCATCAATAGATACCATTTATTATGTGACTTTATAATTTTTAACGAGAGTGAATAACAATTTCCAACCCACACTTTATTAAATGTGTTTTTCACCCCTAGTTTAGTTTATATTAATTTTAGGGTTAATAAATTTAAAAGAGAATTTAAAAATAAAATCAGTTATTAAAATAAAAAATTGAAAAAAAACTAAAAAAAAGCTGGCCTACACTTGGCAAGAATCGCTAGGTGCGATTTTGAACAACTTTTTTTTTTTTTTTTTTCCAATTTTCTTAATTTTTTATTTTCGGATTTTTCTTACAATTTTTCAGTTTTTTTTTTGGAAATTATATTTTTATATATACAATTTTCATGAAATATTGTTTTGTAATTATAGAAATTGAAGATATGGGTTTCAATGACTAATTCCCAAGTTGGTGAAGGTAATAGTTATGTGTTTGTAATTTAGGAGTGTAAGTAATACTAACCTTATAATATATATTGTCCGAAATGACAAAAATGCCCTTTTGCTGTTAAAATAACGTTTGAATTTAATGATGGGTGGGAAAAGTAATGAAGGCAAACTTTGGGTGGGAAAATGTCATTCACTCAAAATATTAAAGTCTACATACATCTAGAGGTGGAAAAAATGGGCCGGGTTAGGCAGGTCAACCCTAACCCGGCCCGTAATGAAGAGGGTTCAACCCGGCCCGTCTTAAACCCGCCAGCAACCCTCGGGCGGGCCGGGTTGCAAAATGGCAACTCGACGGCCCGCGGGTTGCTATTTTGTCCTCTTTGCAAGAGGACCGCAACCCAGTGGGTTGCAACCCGCCGGGTTGGCCAAAAAAAAATTAAAAAAAAATGTAAATTTTTTTTCAATTACCCTTTTACCCTTGAAATATAGCCGTTTTATAGCGATTAGAGGGGTCTTTTTCGTCATTTTCTTTTCCCATTTTTTTCTATAAATTGGCCCTAAACTCTCATATTTTTCTCACAACTCAAATTCTCTCATTTTCTCATATTCTCTAATCTCTATTCTCTCAATTATTCATTTATTCTCTTAATCTTTTTGTTATCAATTTGCTCTTATTTTAATTTTTATTAGTTTTTGCAATTTTCAATTCATATTTCCAACTTTCCAAATTCCAAATTTCCAATTTCCATATTCCAATTCTCTTTCTTTAATTTTTATTTCTTCTACATCAATTTTTTTTTNGCCAAGTAATACCCATATTAGTTATTTGAGTTTGATTGCTTTCTCTATTTCCATGTTGATTAATATGTTTATTAGCATGCCTTTTTAAAGTACTAGTATCATTACCTGAATCAGCTTTATAAACATTTGCATAATATTTGCATCTTACTTTCTTGACTTAAACGCCATTTTCTGTCTCGTAAAACTTGTCGAAATGCGTCCAAACGTCTGATGTGTGCCTGTCTTCGATTTCGACGGCAGTTGATGAACCCGTCTTAACTTGAGATGGAGTTGGATGAGGACGACAATTACGAGGGCGACTTCTAGAACCACCGAGAGCTGTTGGAATCGACGACATATTTTGAGGTGTATCGGATTCTGAGACTGGGATTGGGACAGCAGGACTATTTGAATCTCCTACATTCATAGTAAAATCAGCGGGACTAGGACTAGGATAGTAGTTTTCTTCATCATTGAAATGGATGGGAGAGAAATATCTATCTATTGTAGTTGAAAAAAAAATTGATGCAGAAGAAATAAAAATTAAAGAAAGAGAATTGGAATATGGAAATTGGAATTTGGAATTTGGAATTTGGAAAATTGGAAATATGAATTGAAAATTGCAAAAACTAATAAAAATTAAAATAAGAGCAAATTGATAAAAAAAATTATTAAGAGAATAAATGAATAATTGAGAGAATAGAGAATATGAGAGAATGAGAGAATTTGAGTTGTGAGAAAAATATGAGAGTTTAGGGCCAATTTATAGAAAAAAAATGGGGAAAGAAAATGAAAAAAAAGACCCCTCTAATGGCTATAAAACGACTATATTTCAAGGGTAAAAGGGTAATTTAAAAAAATAAATTAATTTAACATTTTTTTTAATTTATTTTTCAGCCAACCCACGGGTTGGCCGTTGGCAACAGACAACCTGGTGGGTTGGCCATTGGCTACAGCCAACCCGCATGCAACCCGCCGGGTTGGCGGTCCTCCTGCAGAGAGGACAAAATAGCAACCCGCGGGCCGTCGGGTTGCCATTTTGCAACCCGGCCCATCCGGGGGTTGCTAGCGGGTTGGGCTCAACCCGGCCCGCCATTAAGGTGGGTTGGGCTTAACCCGGCCTGCCATTAAGGCGGGCTGGGTTGAACCCTCTTTATTACGGGTCAGGTTAGGATTGACCCGCCTAACCCGGCCCATTTGTTCCACCTCTAGTCACACACCATAAAGCAATGAAAATGAAAGGGCATCGTATCTTATTATCTAATATCTTCTTTTTTCACATTTATATTTTTCTGTTATATTTAATGATTTATGCACTTTTAAAAGTGAGAAATGCTAGATTTATATAAAGAAATAGAAAGAAGGATATACAAAATAATGTGACAACTGATATGACAATATCACATCATCTATCACATCACTCACTTGCCACATAACCTTTTTTTTTAATCTAAATTTTCCTCCTGTTTCTCTCTCCTCCTCCTCCTCCTCCTCCTCTTCTTTACGAACTCATTCATTTTTTTTTTTTTACACATTATTTTGTATAAAAATCTTAATAAAATTTATTTGTACCTCTACCATATTAATATACGTAACTCTTTAAATTATTGTTTAAAATTACAAATACAATTTCAACAACCTATTCCCGCGTCCTCTACATTTGATTGCTGATAGGAGTGATTTAAAACAAATAATTGATATCCACGTTTTATGCGTTTTAAATTTGTTGAATAAATAAATTAATAAAACATGACAAAATCGTGGTGCCAAGCTAGTGACGCAATCTGCTTTATGCCTTTAAAATTTGTTGAATTTCCTAATGCCCAGTGTTCTCACAGTCTTACTTTCTATTCCAATGTGATGACCATGTACAAAGATACTAATACGAATCTCACCCACCGGGAATTTTGTTACCTTTGGCCCTAATTTTTAGGATTGTGCAAAAAAATCTGATATCCGATATCCGATCCTAATCCACTCTATTCCGCTCCAGAAAAATCGGATATTTGAAAATTTGGATCGGATACGGATCAGAATTTAGCAAAATCCGAATATTCGGATCGGATACCGGATCGGGATTATTAAAAAATCAAATATCCGTATCCAATCCGGATTTTACAAAACTACGTTGTTTTGAGTTTAAAAATTAAATTAACCCTAACACTAACAGTCTAACTCAATAACTCTAACACAATTAAGTCAACTCTCTGTCTCTCTCACTCTCTGTCTCTCTCGGCTCTTGCTCGAACACGAACACGTAGTCACGACTCACGCACAGTCGCACAACCTCTCACAAAGTCACAGTCTCACTCTCTCAGACCAGTTCTCATCTATCATCTCAGTCTCTCGCTGTCTCTCTCGCTCAAACAAGCACAACCTTTCACTTTCTCAGACCAGATCTCGTCTGTCGTCTCAGTCTATCACTGTCTCTCTCGCTCAAACATGCACAGCCTTTCACTCTCATCTCAATCTCACTTTGTCTCTCTCGCTCAACTCTCTGACTCTCTCGCTCGAACACGCACAAACCGACACACAGTCAGTCAACCACTCTCTCGGTGTCTCGGTGTCTCACTCTCTCTCACTCGAACACTCTCAGATCTCAGTCTCTCTAACGATTGAAGCCCCAAATCGATTGTTGTCACAGCCTAGTGCGACTACCGCCACACCGTAATAGCCTGGTGCGATTTCGTGGTGCTTATTTCTTTATTATTGTTGGTGATGGTTTGTTAATGGTACAATTTGATGGGTGTTTTTGTTTTGATGTTGATTTGAGTTTGATGTTAATGGCACCGTAATATGGTGTCTTCTCTCTTTGTCCCGGTTACAAACCTTCTATTGTTCATTAGTATTTATTTGCGTTTCGAACCTATTACAAGGTTGATGGAGGCTGGGTTTGATTCAAACTGTGCCAATTGGGTTT